CACACTAGGGAGAGGGCTTTTATTGGTGAACAAAGAATTCTGGGGAAAATCCCATCCAATGAAGGTCAAGGGGGAGCAGTGTTGCAAGGTCAAGGAGGGGGCAGTGTTGCAAGGTCAGGTGCCATGACTGGATCTTTGGGGCAGTGGTGAGACATGCCTCCACACGGACAAGCTCTCGAACCGAGAAGGGTGGGGAAAGCTCTGCCACATTAAAAGTGACTGAGCACCTCACACCTAGGGGTGTAGAATTCAGTCATGTGCAAGGATGGTCTCCCACATTTATCTTCCTTTAAGAAAACAAATTTTAAAGGGTCTCTGTATGTCCTGTTCCATGAGATGTCCCTGTGGCCTTGTATAGTTGAGTGAATCAAAGATATGCTCTCCAAGACTGGTTTCTCATGCCCAAGGTTGGTCACATTAGCCCATTCACAAGATACTTTCCTGTGAGTGACAACTTGGGATACTCATGAAAGGGTGGTCTTCTATAACCTTGGTTCTTGCAAGAATTTAAGACTTCTCTCCCAAAAGAGTTTCAAAGTCTCCACCTAACATCTATTGCTTTTTAGATACAAAAATAAGCATTTTTCATAATTCTTTATAATAAAGAAATCTGGAGAATGCCTCCTTACTCAAGTGATCATTGGTATCAGGACAACTGATATTATGTGCTTAATATTTAATGTTATGTTTTCCCTAATGGGAAAATATATGAAGAGTAGCATGTAACCTATGAAAGATTCTTGTGGTCAAATCAAGCCATCACACTTTCTTTTCAGCTTACAGGAAATTCTGGCACTAAAGAAAATTAACACCAAAAGGACAAAAAAAAAAAAAAAAGACAAATTGATAAACTTCAAAAAGTTAATGCCAGGAAAACAAAAAAGGTTGATGCTGTTATCCATTAAGAGAGACAAACATGACAAATGCAATGTATGAATCTTGATGATATCATCTTTCTTCAAAACCAATATACAAGACCTTTTTAACAATTGGGGAAATTTGAATATGGTCTGGATATTAGGTGATATTATTGAGTTGTTGTTTCTTAAATGTGACTATTTACTGTAGTTTTTTAGAAGTCTTTAGTCTTAGGAAAAATGCAGGCTGAAGTATTGGAAGGGGAAGCAGTTATAGTAAATTATAAACACTTGTTCAATCTTGGACACGTATATATATGGGTGTGTTCACTGAACTATTCTTTCAACTTTTCTTGTGGCTGTTGCACAGTCTCCTAGCCAAAGCACTGGATTAGAAATTGTTTTCAGGTGGCACTCTTCCAGAGGTCCTGTGGCCTAAGAGTAGTATTTTTGTTGTTATTATTACTTATTAATTTAACCAACTCCACCCACAGACTGGCACGACCAGAATCCACATACCAACACCCAGCTCTCACTGGAAAAAGCGGTTCCACTCCTCCAGGGAGCCTTGAGTAGGGGGCGGGAGCTTTCTTGAACTGTTGGTTTCAAGAGGAATCTCTTGAGAGCACAAGATTCCTTGGAACTCCAGTCCACACAGATCATTGTAATATGATGGGGACTCAACTTTTATTCCCCATCAGTTCAAAAAGGATCACTTACACTCTCGGAGAACAAAGAATACCCATCACCACCACCACCCCAAGGTTTCTTCTTTCCTAATTAGCTGTGTTTGGATTTCAAAAAGAAAATCCCTCCAGGACCTCCTGGAGGCCGTGCATTTACACAGCTTGGAAAACGGCAAGAGATACAGAGTAGCGGGTCTTAAACAGAAATCTTAGCCTGAAGTCTGCCATTAAGTTGTCTAACCTCTATCAGTCACAACTACCGAATGCATTCATAACACCACAGTGTTTGGAACGCAAGATCTAGAGAGAGCGCCAAGGCGAGCGCGCAAGGATGCCGCGGGCCTGGGCCCGCTTGTGCAAGCTAGGATAGCTTGGGCCGCAGCCCCAGCGCGAGGTCTGCGCGCGCCCGGGCGTGCATGCGGCTGCGGGGAGGTTCTGTGTGCGCGCAGGGCTGGAGCGCGGCCCGCGTTGGAGCTGAGTGGGCGCTGCGCGCGCGGGAGGTGAGTGTGAGGCAGGGGCCTTGTGTCCACCCGGAGGCGGTTGAGACCCAGGCTGGCTGACAGGCATGGTCCCGGGACTTAACCTTTTGGGAAAGCGGAAAATCAGCCGGCGAGGCCCGGAGGCGCCGCCCACTTTTTCGGCCCTCTACAAAGCGCAGTAGGGTTTGCGCCTCGAGCCGCCACGCCCTGGGGTCTTGGGCCTTGTTGGCGGCAATTCCTGGCCCCTGTGTGCGCGGGAGAAGGAGTCTAGTGGGGCCGTGGGCAACACAGAGGGACGCCGGTGCACGTGGCGAGCCCAGGCCGCAGCCGCAGGTTGTTCACCCTCTCCTGCCCTAGGGCGCAAGCCCTGCCTTTTGGTCGCCCGGTGCCGCTCCAACTACTAGGGAGGGGGTCTGTCTCTGCGACGCGAAAAGACCCGAACGGTGCTAATGGTATTGGTGGGTCTCCAATAGGTTTGGAGCGAACGCATTTCCGTGGCGGTGGGGAAGGGCCCCAGAGCCGGATTGTAGGAGGGCATTTCACGGGGAGAACTGGAGAAAAATCTGCACCCATGGGAGCGGGGAAATT